GGTTAGCACTGCTGCCTCATAGGTTCGATTCCACCCTCGGGCAACTGTCTGTGTGGAGTTTGCACATTCTCCCCGTGTCCTCCAGGTGCTCCAGTTTCCTCCCACAGTCCAAAGGTGTGCAGGTTCGGGTGGATTGGCCACGCCAAACTGCCTCATAGTGTTCAGGGATGTGCAGGATTAGCCCAGGGGAATGCAGGGTTATAGGGTGGGTCTGGGTGGGATGCTCTTTGGAGGGTCAGTGTGGACTCGATTGGTTGAATGGCCTGCTTCCACACTGTAGAGATTCTATTGATGCTTGAAGGCAAAATGGAGAAAGTACAGGAAAGTGGGATTAACTGGACAATGAGCAGCAGTGGGAATGGCTTGAATGGGCTCTGTCATTGCTACGTGCACTCCAACCTTACATTTTGCTTGTTGATTTGTGTTCTCAATAATTAATTGCTGCAGAAAGCTTCTTTGCAACAGATTTTAGCCTGGGACAACAAGGGGCTACCACATGAAATGATGCAATGGCAACACTTGATGCCACGAGTCAGTCTTCAGTAACTGTACATGCAAATAACATGGGATGGGGAGGCAATGGACCAGTGCCAGGTCAATGTGCTACATGTATTAGTCAGTGAAAGAAGAAAGCAGCCATTTCCTTCTCCTGACCACAAGCCAAGAACTTACAAGCATCTGCCAACCTACAAATGACCCTCCTCAACAGCAAATAAATGCAGGTCATGCTTTTTTTTTAAATCAATTGAAATTTATATCAAACAGTTTCTTGGCGGAACTTCACGTACACTTCATGTAGCACAATGCAGTTGTTATAAACAGCCCATCATCTGTTTGACCATTTAATTGCTCCTTAGCCGCACACATTCCCTCAACAGAACCTCATTCCTTGTTCTCCCTAAAGTCTTTGTACCCCTGCGAACCACGACACTAGGTTATAGTCCAACAGGTTTATTTGAAATCACAAGCTTTCAGAGTGCTGCCCCTTCGTCATCTGATGAAGGAGCGGCGCTCCGAAAGCTTGCAATAAACCTGTTGGACTATAACCTGTGCTGTAAGATTTCTGACCTTGTCCACCCCAGTCCAACACCGGCACCTCCACATCATGTGAACCACTACAGCTGACTCTTTCCCCTCCAACTCCGAGTTTCTCCTCTTCCTTCTGCCACTTGAATTGTACCATGATACTATGGTCAGTTTGCTCATCCTCCATACAGGGAGCAAGTATCCTGACTATTTGTACAAGGACGAGGGCTAATGCTCCTGCATTGCTACCTCTTGAATCCCTCTGTCTGCCTCGCTCATTTGTCACATCCTCCTGTGCTTCGCCACTGACTGAATTCAGGGTAGTTAATTTAAGGGGTGTTTGTCTCCTGAAACAGTCTACTCCTCCATGATATGTCGCAGTGTTTGAAGACTAGATCCCAGATTATCATCTCTGAGCCCGAGTTCCTCAAGCAACCAACCCTTGCTGCAGCTATATCCACAGTGAACCACAATGGTATCCACATTATGCAAGGACCACACGTTGCCTGGCTCTGCACCTCTATTTAGTCATGGAACCATCGACTCTCTACAGTGCGGAAAGATGTTATTTGGCTCACTGAGTCCACATTGACCCTTCGAAGAGCATCCTACCCAGCCCATGCCATGTCCTATCCCTGTAAACTCACATTTCCAATGGTCAATCCACCTAGCCTGCACGTCCATGGACACTATGGGCCAATTTAGCATGACCAATCCATTCTAACCTGCATATCTTTAGACTATGGGAGGAAACCTACACAGACTTGAGTTGAATTCAGCAAAACAGAATGACTCATTAAATGGGCAACAGAGCTAAGCACTTTGGTTGGAAGAATAGAACTTTCTAAATAGGGAAAGGCTTCTGAAATCTGAAGCACAAAGGGACCTGGGAGTTCTAGTTCTGAATTCTCTTAAGGTTAATATGCAGGTTCAGTTGGCAGTTAGGAAGGCAAATGCAACATTAGCATTAATTTTGAGAGAGCTAGAATACAACAGCAGAGATATACTGCTGAGGGTGTATAAGGCTCTGGTCAGACCACATTTGCAATATTGTGAGCAGTTTTGGGCCTTGTATCTATGGAAGGATGTGCTGTCCTTGGAGGAGATCCAGAGGAGGTTTGCAGGAATGCTCCCTGGGACAAAGGAGGAGCAGTTGAGGATTCTGGGTCAGTACTTGATGGAGTTTTAGAAGGATGAGGTGGGGATTTCATTGAAACTTACAGAATACTGAGAGGGCTGGATAGAGTGGACATGGAGATGTCTCTGTTAATAGGAAAGACTGCGACCTGAGGGAACAGCCTCAGAGTGAAGGACTGACCCTTTTAGAACTGAATTGAGGAGGAATTTCTTCAGCCAGAGGGTGGTGAATCGGTGGAACTCATTCCTGCAGAGGTGCTGTGGGGGCCAAGTGATTAAGTATATTTAACACAGAGAGAGAGAGAGGCTCTTGATTGGTAAGGAGATCAAGGGTTACAGGAAGAAGGTGGGAGAACGGGGTTGAGAAACATATCAGCCATGATTGAATGGTGGAGCAGACTCAATGGGCCAAGTGGCCTAATTCTGTTCCTATGTCTTGTGTTCTAAGCAAAGACAAGTAAATGCGAACTCTGGGAGATTTTCTACAAAAATACTTTTTTATTCCCTCTTCTAATCTGGACACAGTGTGCCATTCTTTCCAGGAAGAGGCTCACAAGGCATGTTAGGTGTTTTGAAGATGGAAGCATTGACAGGTCAGCTCAGCTTAGCTTCATTGCTAGAACTCTCCTGTCAGCGTGCTCTGAGAAGAGCAGGTGAGTTATCCCCAGGATCATATGCATGGGATCTTGCTGTGTGACTGTCATGTTACCCACCTTCCAACAACGGCAAAGAATGTCATTTGCTGTGAAGCATTTGACAAATGCTGAAAGTTGGAAACGATCAACAGTGTATCAATCAACATTCTATTTTTCAAACAAAACCAGGTGAAGCATCGAGTGTGAGGTTTCACAGATTGGAGCACAACTGGAGATTGGAGTAGAGGTTAAAGTCTGATTCTTTCTTCATGTGGGAGCCTCACAACACTGAGCATTCTGTAAGACCTGCCTGTTTATAGGATCATCAAAGCTCTACTGTGCAGATAGAGATCATTAAATCTGCACTGACCCTCCAAACAGCAACCTAACCTGACCCACATGCCCTACCCTATCCCTGTAACCTTGCATTTCCCATGGCTAACCCACCTACCCTGAACACTATGGGCAATTTAGCGTGGCCAGTCTACCTAACCTGCACATCTTTGGACTGTGGGAGGAAACCGGAGCAAACCCGCACAGACACGGGGAGAACGTGCACACTCCACACAGCCTGAGGCTGGAACTGAACCTGGGTCCTTGCTGCTGTGAGGCAGCAATGCTAACCACTGAGCCACTGTGCTGCCCAACCCTGAGGGGACGGAGGTGATGCTGCACAGTTGCGGTGATCAAAGATTGGCCACGGATGGAGGCCCTGATCACAGACGTCACTCCTAGATGGCAAGTGGATATTTGGAGCGAGGCAGCATGCACTGATCTCTCGTACCATCTGCTGCCCTCTGCCCATTGCCTGTCAACTCTGACTCAGTACGTTATGTGCTCAATACCCAGTCTGCCGAGGCTGCGGGACAATAACCTCAGCTGATATTTGCAAAACTGTGCTGAGGCTGCACCGCGCTGTCAGGGGGGTGCCATCTTGCAGCTGAGTCACGTCAAACCAGGGCCTGGTCTCCTGCCTTGTGTGGATGTAACAGTTCTCACAGCCTGCTCAGACCAGTTTCCTGACCAAGAATTATCTCTCATCCCTGTGATTGAAAGAAATCTCATTACAGCAGTGCAGCTTGTGACAGCTTGCTTTGTACAAATTGGCTTCTGTTGGCATTAGAATGGTGACCATGTTTCAGAAGTATTTCATCAGCTACTAAGTGCTGTGGTCTGTCCTGAGGTTGTGAAAGGTGCTATATAAATGCAAGTCTTTCCATACTTTCTCCTGGAAAGCACAACTGGGATTATAATTTCAACGCAAGTTGAATCAAGATGGAAATCGGTGAAGAAAGGTATGCCTGGAGCACTAACACACCACAACAACCCACTCCCGACCCAAAACATCAACTTTCCTGCTCCTCTGGTGCTGCCTGGCCTGCTGTGTTCCTCCAGCTTCACGCTGTGTTATCTCAGACTCCAGCATCGACAGTTCTTACTGTCTCCCAATGGAACAGGCTGCACTTTTAATTCTTTCAGGGAATGTGGGCATTGTTGGGTGGGTCAGCATTTATTGGCTGCCCCGACTTGCCTTCAAGAAGGTGGTCGTGAGTTATCTCCTTTGAACCACTGCAGTCCACGTGTTGTAAATTAACCAACAATGCTGTTGGGGAGGGAGTTTCAGAATTCTGGCCCAGTGACCCCGAAGGAACAGTGATATATTTCCAAGGCAGGATGATGAGTGGCTTGGAGGGGAACTCGCTAGTTGTGGGTGGTTCCATGTCTCTGCTGCCCTTGTCCTTCTAGATGGAAGTGGTCGTGGGTTTGGAAGGTGCTGTCTAAGGAGGCTGGTGAATTTCTGCAGTGCATCTTGTAGATGGTACACACTGCTGCTACTGAGCGTCGGTGGTGGAGGGAGTGGACGTTTGTGGATGTGGTGCCAATCAAGCGGCTGCTTTGTCCTGGATGGTTTCGAGCTTCTTGAGTGTTGCTGGGGCTGCACCCATCCAGGCAAGTGGGGAGTATTCCATCACACTCCTGACTTGTGTCTTGTGGACAGGCTTTGGGGAGTCAGGAGGTGAGTTATTTGCTGCAAGATTCCTAACCTCTGACCTTGTAGCCCCAGTATTTATATGATAAGTCCAGTTCATCTCCTGGTTGTAACCCCCAGGACGTTGATTTGGGGGGTATTCGGCATTGATAAATGCTATCAAATTGTCTTTCTTGATCCTGGATTTGATGCACGCCTTTTTCTCTCTGCAGCTCAGGCGACAGTGCTGAAGGTCTCAAGCGACCACATGGTCTACATGTGTCCCGAGGGGGTGAATGTTACCTTTAATTGCAGCCTTTCTGGACACCTCAAGAACAGGCATGATTCCTTGGCCAAGCTTTGGTACTACAGCCGCAGCAAGAACGCTCTGTGCAAGGAGAGGATGCACATCCGTAACACCACGGTCATGTGGGAGAACCACAATCCGAACAAGGGCCGAGGGGTCTACATGAACTCCAATCACCAGGGTGTGTTCTGGGTCAGCCTCAGTAACCTGGTCCCAGATGACGAGGGCGTTTACTGCTGCGTGGTGCACGAGCTACACCGATCACAGCCAAACGCACACCACCCGAAAGTCGAGCTGACTGTGTACGGCACCATGGAGCTCCAGGTCATCCCAGGTACGTTTCTGTAGAAAACCATTCTGTCAGGGAATGTGCATGCAGTTCCTGTAACCTGGCCGTTGACCCAAGCGTGGGAAATTTCTCTGGGCCAATATCTGTACCCACTCCAAGATCACTCGCTTCTTTTATTTTCTTGAAGAAAGAAAATGGTCTAGTCATTTGCCCCGAGGCTGATGTGTGGGATCTTGCTGTGCACACATTGCCTGTCACGTCTTCTACTTTTCAGCCACGATCGCGCTTCAAAAGCATGCAAGCGGTCTGCAAAATAATTTGGCACACCCTTCATGTCTGAGCAGAGAGTGTTGGGCAGCAGCAACAACAACAACTTGCACTTATGTAGCCTCTTTAACTGAATGAAACGTCCAAAAGAATTTTGCAGGAGGACTGATGATCAAAAATGGAACAGCCGAGCCGCTGGAGGGGAGTCAGGGCAGGTGGCCAAAGTTTTGGTCAAAGAGATGGGGGTGTGTGGCATGCTGATAACTGCAGAGAGTTGAGATTGAGAGGCTGATTGACACCCCTCTGAATTTCCCAAAGTGGCACTTTTCTCAAGGTGAGGTAATCCTCTGAACTGAATCAAAATCGATTTGAGGTTTCGTTAATTTAACACCACCTTTATAGTATCCATGAGCCAGCTAGCTGGAAATGTTCCACTTGGAATGGCAGCACGGTGGCTCAGTGGTTAGCACCACTGCCTCACGGCACCAGGGACCAAGGTTCACTGCCACCCTTGGGTGACTTTGCAAACTCCACACAGACATTCTCCCTGAGTCTGTGTGGGTTTCCTCTGGGTGCTCTGGTTTCTTCTCACCGTCCAAAGGTGAATTGGCCACGCTGAATTGCCCCATAGTGTCCAGGGATGTGTAGGCTAGGTGGGTTAGCCATGGGAAATGCAGGGTTACAAGGATGTGGCGGATCTGGGTGAGCTGCTCTTTGGAGGGTTGGTGATGGGCCAAATGGCCTGCTTCCATGTTGTAGAACATGGACATACATGAGGGCAGATAGGTCTGCATGGTTAACTTCAGAAACTGTAACCTTACATTTGTCAATGAGCTCAGCACCTGATTGGGTTTCTATGTGTTGTTCTTTATGATTAGGGCAAGATAGCCAGACTTGTGACACAATCACTTTTTTCTTCTTTGTCGATGGTGCATCAGGAGTTTTCATTATTGGTGCTGGAGCTAATCCGATTCAAACCAGCTTCTTTGCAGATTGAGAAGGGATATACTGCTCATTTGTCAACAGGGAAAACAATGACACTGTGTGTTTCTTATTTCCTGATCCAATAATCAGGGGAGGTGGTGATGTGGGAGTAACATCACTAGATTCATAATCCAGAACCCCAGTTATTAGTCTGAGGACATGAGTTCAACCAATGGAAGTTGGTGAAACTTGAATTCAATAAAACTCAATGGCCATGTAACCCCTGCCATTGTTGTAAAAACCAATCTGGTTCACTAATGTTCTTTTAGGGGAGGAAATCCGCTGTATTTACCTGCTTTGGCCTACATGTGACTCCAGGCCCACAGCAAAGGAGTTGACTCTTAATTACTCTCTGAAATGGCCACTCAATTGTAGCAAATTGTTACAAAGTTCAAAAAGGCAGCTAACCACTACCTTCTCCAGCCAACTTGAGATGGGAACCACTGGTGCCCACTCGGTGCCCCCCTGTGGATGAATACAGAAGAATGAGATATAACAATCTCCTCCATAGCAGCCATCAATGCTGAGCTCTCTCTGTTCCTACTGGGCCACTGGAGCTCCTGCAGGGTCTTCCCTGACATCTTGTAGCTAAACCTGCAGGTAATGTGAGGCAAGAATGGACACAAGGCTGACCCCTGCTGGTAAATAGCAAGAACTGCAGATTCTGGAGATACGCCACTCAGAGAGTGTTCTGAAGAAGGGTCCTGACCCGAAACGTGGACTTTCCTGCTTCTCTGATGCTGCCTGACCTGCTGTGTTCCTCCAGCTCCACACTGAGTTGACTCTGATGCCTGATGATACACAGAGTTTCAGTGAGACTCGAGACCCTTCAGCCTTAGCAGGTGACTGAGAGCGGGCGGAGGGAACATGGGGTACAGCAAAATGCCATTTTTAACCACACAATGGCAGGACAGTGCTCTCAGGTCTAACGGTAGTGCCCTCCAGCCCGAATCATAGCTGAAGTTAATCTCTCAACAAGCATCACTAGATCTGGTTACCTGGTCATTTCTCAGATTATTGTTTGTGGGATTTCACTGTGCAGGAATTGGCTGCATTGCAATGGTGGCAATACCTTTTTAAAAAGTGCTTGAAGCTGACTGTAAAGCGCATTGGGGCCATCAAATGCGCTCTATAAATGCACATCCTTATTTCCTTTAAACTGGTAAAAGGATAAACCTTTAGGCCTAATATCAGGAGCATGCCTTGTCCAAAGCATCACCAGGAGTTGGATATTCCACCAGGTAAGGGAGAGAAGACAACATTGGAAAATATTTGAGAAGAAACGCTGAGCTCAGCGTGTCAAATGTTCTCCTCCTTCTGTGTATCTGCTGGTACCAATATTAACTTCAAACATTGAATTGTGAAGAAACTGCTGAAATGCTTTTTTTTTAATATTATATACACAGGAAATGGAACTCACACCTCTAATCAGAAATGTACTTTTCGTGATCCTACTGTCATATCAGATTCGGAAGGTAAGATATTTATGGTCCCATGTCATTTTGGGATTAACTATTCCTTTCGTCCCTGCTGCTACTCTTTGGTATTTGAGGGGGTTGGGGTGACTGTGTTACTCTTCGGCATTACCTCATCTCCACTGTCCATATGTGGCTCTTTCCATTTCACAGAATCCCTACAGTGCAGAAGCAGGCCATTTGGCCCCAAAGAGCATCCCAACCAGATCCACCCCTATCCCTGTAACCCTGCTGATCCACCTAGCCTGCAAATCCCTGGACATTATGGGCAATCCACCTAATCTTTGGACTGTGGAAAGAAACCGGAGCATCCGGAGGAAACCCACATAGACACGGAGAGAACGTGCAAACTCTGCACAGACAGTCGCCCGAGGGTGGAATCGAACCAGCGTCCCTGGCGCTGTGAGGCAGCAGTGCCCAATCCGAACATCTCGTGCAATGGTTCCTCCTCCTGCCCGTCCAGTGAGGTCCTTCAGTGATTCCTTCCTCTTTGTCACCTTTGTGCTGCCCTGTGCTGAGACCATTTGCAGATACAGGACCGAAAACTGTTCTCACTGAGACCAACCTTTCCACCAGCTCCAGTGAACCCTCTTCTAAAGCTGTGTTGGCAGGTTACAATCATTGAATCAGAGACTAAAACAGCACAGAAGGAGTCCTTTCAGCACCACCCCACCCCTCCCCACCTCAGGCTGTGCTGAATTCATTCAGTTCCACTGTCCTCCTCTTTCCTCTATATATCCCTGTGATTTTTAAATTTCTATTTCATGTTTTTATACAAATCCCTTCTTTTTAAAATTTAACCTACTTTTCTAATCAACCTGTTCAGAGATGTAATTCCACACCTCTGGAGCAGGTGGAACATGAAACCAGGCCTCCAGGTCCAGGGGTAGGGACACTATCATTGTGCCACATCTGTATCCGTCACCTGATCAGCTAATGCATTCCAATTCCTAAACACTTGCTGCAAGAGGAAGTGTTTATTCCTGTCACCTGTGGTTCTTCAACCCATTTCCTTCAGCCATTGAAAACAGTTTCTGTGTACCGACTGAATCAAAAATGATTTTAAACAGCTCTATAAAATCTCCCTATGGCCTTTGCTGTTAAAAAGAAAACTGTTAGCTACAATTGCCTCTAGCTGTTGGTATGTTTTAGAATTGATTCTCTTGCATGACAAAATTAATGTTCATTTTGTAGCTATTATTTACTGTATATATGTGTGTGCGTGTGGACGATTGTGACATTCAGGGAACATATAATATTTCAATGGCTGCTACTTCCAATCCTGTTTAGGAACAAGGGTGGGACTTGTTGCCAAGTTTTCACTATGTAAAAATAATTAAAATTAGGAGCAGGAATAGGTCATTCAGCCTTTTGAGACTGCGCCACCGTTCAAACATGGAACAGGCCATTTGGCCCACCATGTCTGTGCCGACATGATGCTATTCTAAAACTCGGTATGACCACAGCTGATTATCCAGCTCATTTCCCTGCTCTCGTTTTATTCCCCATACCCGTTGATCCCTTTAGCCTCAAGGATTATATCTAACTCCTTGAAAATGTTCAACATTTTGTCCTCAACTGCTTTCTGTGGCAGAGAATTCCATAGAAATTCCTTCTCACCTCCGTCCTAAATGGCCTACCCTGTATCTTTACATGGTGACCCCCAATTCTGGACTCCCCAGCCATCGGGAGCATCCTCCCTATTGCCACTTAGAACAGCTCAAGTGTTACTGAGCAGTCAGTTTTAGAGAGTGAGTCAGAGGAAGGGGAGAGGCAGAAGATTGGTACCTTTCGGCTGCTAGCCAGTCAAGTACCAAGGAGCAGGGGTTGGAGACTTTATCCTGTAAAGGATGCTGCTGTAGCTGAAGAGTTAGGACTCGGAGGAGTCCAGGGAAGATGAGGGAAGGTCCTGGAACTGTGGAGGCTCAGGAGAACCCTGTAAACCATAACTAGTTCAGGGTAGCTGACAGTAGGGCTGAAGGAAGTCCACAAGTAGTATATGCTTGGTGTAGCTCAGCGAGATTGGAGTTTGGAGAAACCCAGATGCAGTATGAGTTTGGTGAAATTATCTGTTTGCAATGAAGCTGGAATTGAGGCCATGAGTAGCTGCTGGACTACTGTTTCCAGAATTTAGGGCGAAGCCTAGTTCCAGGAAAGGATAGTTATTCATTAATGGGATGAGGATGTTGCTGGCTAGGCAGCATTTAGTGCCCATCCCTAATTGCCCAGAGGCCAGTTGAGAGTCAACCACATTTCTCTGGAGTCACACGTAGGCCAGACCAGGTAAGGATGGCAGTTTCCTTTCCTAAAGGACATTAGTGAACCAAATGGGTTTTTCCAACAGTTGACAATGGATTCATGGTCATCATTACATTCTTTAATTCCAGACATTTTTATTGAATTCAAATTTCAACGTTTCCCATGGTGGGACTTGAACCCGGGGCTGGGTTTCTGGATTAACAGTCCAGCGATTATACCAGAAGGCCATTGTCTCCCCTATCTGGACACGTCTGATCATTTGAGGCAGTCTGTTATTGAATGGCTTTCGAGGGAATTCAAAAGCTGCCTGTTTGAAAGTGAAGAATTTGGAATCCTTGGAAAGGAGACAAAGTTTTTTTGACAGTTGGGGATCCACAGTGAGGGCCAAATGCAAGAGCGAAGTATACAGTAAATGGCAGAACATTTCGCAGCATTGATATACACAAGGATTTCGGGGTGCGAGTCCATAGCTTCCAGAAAGTGGTAACACAAGTGGATAAAAGTGGGAAAGAAGGCACATGGCATGCTGCCTTCACTAGTCAGGGCAAGTATACAAGTTGGCAAGTTATGTTGCTGCTGCAAAAACTTTAGTTCAGCCACATTTAGAGTATTGTGTGCAGTTCTGGTTGCCACACTATAGGAAGGATGTGCAGGCTTTGGAGAGGGTGTTGAAGTGGTTTATCAGGATGGTGCCTGGATTGGAGTGTATTAGCTATAAGGAGAGGTTTGGATAAACTTGAATTGTTCTTGCTCGAGTGTCAGAGGCTGTGGGGCAACCCGACAGAAGTATATAAAATTTATGAGATGTGGATAGGGTGGATAATCAGAGTCTTTTTTCCCAGAGTGGAAATGTCAAAGACTAGGAGGCCTAGGTTTAAGGAGAGGTGGGGATAAGTTTAAAGAAGGTGTGTGAGGGTGGCAGCTGCCTGAGACGTGCTGCTAGGGGAGGTGGTTGAAGCAGATATAATAGCAACATTTCAGATGCATTTAGACAGACACAAGACCAGGCAGGGAACAGAGGGATACGGACCTGTGCACGTAGATGGGATTAGTTTAGAATGACATCGTGGTCAGCACAGACATGGTAGGCCATAGGGCCTGTTCTAAGTTTTATGTTACTGGCTGGATATTTGTTTAAATCCCATGGCTGTATTTGGTAGGATTTGAATTCAGTTAATACATCTGAAATTGAAAAGCTAGTCTCAGTAATGGTGATCATGACAACAATCATTCATCATTGTAAAAAAATTCCATCTGGTTCACTAATATCCTTTAGGGAAGGAAACTGCCATCCTCACCCAATCCGGCCTCGATGTGACTCCAGACCCACAGAATTGTGGTTGATAATTTCACTGCCCAGGGAAATGGTCTAGCATGCCATTCAGTTCCAGTGTAACTGACGCTAGTCTCACCACTATCCTGTGAAAGAATATTTTTAAAAACTGGCTGATGTGGTGTTCTCAACAAGGTGTCACATTTTTGAGGAAGATTTTATTCATGTTAATTTTCAGACCTTACTTTGTGATGGAAACATATTTCCTCTTCTGAAGCGCATGGCAAGTTGGCAGGTTCAAAATATTCGCTTGGCCTTGCGTATGGGCAGTCAGCATCACACTGCACTTCCTCCCCCACCCTCGTCATGCAATGGTCGGGGGGAAAGAAACTTCAGAATGACTTGATGGTTTTCAGATTCAATCACTGGAAACAGAAACAGACTACAGGCTGTCTCTGATTGTACACATTAACACCTACTTAATAAACAGCATGTACATGTTAGCTCGGACAGCTGGTTTGTGATGCAGAGTGACACCGACAGTGAGAGTTCAATTTCCATGCTGGCTGAGGTTACCGTAAAGGATTCTCCATCACAACCGTGCGGCATGGTAGCTCAGTGGTTAGCACTGCTGCCTCACAGCACCAGGGACCCGGGTTGGATTCCAGCCTCGGGCGACTGTCTGTGTGGAATTTGCACATTCTCCCTGTGTCTGCGTGGGTTTCCTCCGGGTGCTCCGGTTTCCTCCCACATCCAAAGATGTGCAGGTTGGGGTGGATTGGCCATGCTAAATTGTCCCACAGTGTTCAGGGATGTTTAGGCTAGGTGAGTTAGACCCTGGAAATTAGGGGAATGAGTCTGGGTGGGAAGGCTCTTCAACTTCTGTTTCTGTTCCAAAGACTAATGGTTGTGTGTGAGAGGGGGATAAAAAAAATTCTTCCTTACCTGCATCTTAAAGGGGAGACTCCTTATCTCTAAATGGTGCCGCTGGTTCTAGGTCCTCCCACTGACGGAAAAGATCCTCTCAGGATCCACCCTGCCAAGCTTCCAGACTGGGGAAACATTTGTACAGGATAGGGTGATGTGGAAGGAAGGGGAGTTTGGACTAGGTATAATTGGATAGCTCTACGACAGTCAAGATAGATCAAAAGATGTGCTGCAGAAATTCACCAAATGTCCTCCACAAACCTTCCAAACCCACAACCACTTCCATCTGGAAGGACAAGGGCAGCAGATATATGGGAACACCACCCCCTCCAAGCCACTCACCAACCTGACTTGGAAATATATCGCTGTTCCTTCACTGTCGCTGGGTCAAAATCCTGGAATTCCCTCCCTAATGGCATTGTGGGTCAACCTACAGCAGGAGGACTGCAGTGGTTCAAGAAGGCAGCTCACCACCACCTTCTCAAGGGGCAACTAGGGATGGGCAATAAATGCTGACCAGCCAGTGACACTCACACTCTCCATCTCTCTCTCTCTCACTCACACACACACATTCTCTCTCTCTCTCTCTCTCTCCATTTGACACCCAGATCCCAGAAATAAAAGGTCTCCTTCTGCACTTTGCTATCCTTCAATGATGCTGCATGGGTGTTTATTCTTTTCTCAATGGCTGTACATGTCATGTATATCGAATAATTTTTTTTTGTGTTTAAATTCCCCCAGCCACCACAGCTGCTGCTCTCGCCACCATGGGATGTGTCATTGGCATCTTGTCTCTGCCCTTGATTCTGCTCCTCATTTACAAACAGAGGCAGGGTGCAGCCACCAGGAGAAGTAAGTAAGAAACCAACTCGGGCACTTACTGCAGCTCTACACAGCGCAAATGCAAAAGGTCTGGATTGATATTGGTAATGAGGCCAAATATTTCATAACTGCTGCTTATCTGCATATGGGAAATTCTGCAAACATTTATACACTCTCAACAAACCCCCACAATTAATGGTGTATTCTTGGCAAAACCTAACAATTACTGACACACCTCCCCCTCACCCCAGGCACCCCCTGTAAATACTGACGCTCTGCCCCCAGGGGACCGTCTGCAGTTACAGACATACTCCCGGGGATCCCCAACTTATACTGACGTGCCTGCTGTCGTTGTCACTCTCTCAAGCTCCCCCACACCCCTGTCATCACTGTCAGTCTTTCAGATACACTCTGCTATCAGTGTCACCCTTTCAGGTGTGTCCTACAGTCAATGTCACATTATTTCTGCTTTTATTTCCCTTTAAAGTCTAGCAGAAATTACAGTGACTGAATATACGCCCACCAGTCAGTTTTGTCCTGATGCACGTTTCTCTGACCAGTTTTTTTCTGGCACATGAGCACCAGAGAAGAATTCATAAACAGATACTTGTGAAAAATCTGAGAGAATGGCATTTTGTACCCAAACAGGCTTTCTTATTCACACCAATGAAGGTGTCCAAACTTTCATCAATGTAAGAGATCTGCATTTATGTTATTTCCTTATCATGTGTGTCAGGCCTTGTATAGATGCAATTAATTTTGCTGGAAATGCACCTCTGTTATGTCAGAAAACAGAGCACCCATTTTAGCCACAGCATCATTCCACAGTAGCTAAGAAGTCAGAGCTAATCGGCTGGTGTTGGCAGAGGGTAAATAAAATCTTTTCTCGTTCAGTGGGTGGTTAGGGTCTGGAATTCACTGCCTCGAAAGTTGGAGGAGGCAGGTTCAAATGAAGCATTATATGGTTATTTAAAACAGAAACAAGGTGCAGGGTTGTGGGATGGGGGAAAAGACTGGGTTGGTGCTGAATGAAAATGCATAGGCAGCCTGTGCAGATATGATAGGCTACATGGAGTGAGGGTCACACAGCACGGAAACAGACCCTTTGGTCCAACTCATCTGCACCGACCAAACATCCCAATCTGACCTCTTCCCGTTGGCCAGCATTTGGCCCAGATCCCTCTAAATCCTTCCTATTCATATGACCTCCTTCTGCACCACTAATAGTTTTGTGATTCTGTGAATGGTTTTATTCACAGTGTTTGATATCCACCTGAATAACCACAAGAGCAAGACAATGGCCATGGGTTTGAAAATGTATTTGTAGTGTAGCAGCTCCTCAAAGCTGCAGTGGAGTCTGTTTCAGCCGAGATTAAGCATGTTCGCATTTGTGGTTTGAGTGTCGGAGAAAGTATAACCTAATCAGCATAATTTAGCAGGTAATGTCCCCATCAGTGTTTGATTAAAAAGCATCGTAGAAATAGCAGAAGTATCAGCAGCTGATGATTGTAATCAGGCTTTCCACAGAACTTTTCTGTTCCACCTCCACACTGTCCCATGTCACAACCAAAGTAATGCAAAGCCTAGCTGCTGTCAGCAATATTGTGAGGAGTCGGTGTGGCAAGAAACCTTTAACCTGTTGTGCAGATAGATTCAAGGAGAAGTCAGGTAAGTATAATACAGAAATGAACGGATGGCTTTACTGATAGGGTAAGATGAAGAGTCAAGTGGGATATCACTGTCAGTAAGAACTGTTTGAGTCAAACAACCAGTTTCTGTGCTGTATATGCAACGTAATTGATGCATTAAGTTTGTAAACTTTTTGAATCATTTGTGGCTTTACTACAGCAACCTGCATATGCAGTGTTTTGATTTTTCACAGTCTTACCTCACTTGTTTCTCTTTGCAGGAGCCCATGAGCTTGTCCGAATGGACAGGTATGTTTTTAATTGATCCTCAAATCTTTCTCTTAAACTGAAGGGAATTTCCTCCTTTTCTTTGCCCTTTCTTACAGGCAATACAGTCAAGGTTCCAGAACATGAGGCAGCGCAAGCCCACTGGGGAATAGTTATGGGGGCGTTGTGAAGGGTAAAGAGATGACTCACCAACAAATCTTAGTCTTAAGTTTATTTCCCTTCAATTACCATTGGGTATTCAGAGGAGTGGGCCTCTACTTCATCGTTGTGCTATAATGATGTACGAACACTGAAACAAACTCTATCCATCCATTCTACATAGAGTTAATAGAAGTGGACTCAGGAAGTGGGGGAGGGGGAGCCACCTTGGGTTACTCATATGACTTCTAAGAACAGAACGGATGCAGTCCTTTCTGTAGAACAGCTCTCCACACTCTCACCAATAAATAGTTGGCCTAGGTGCAGACCACAACTTGAGGCTGGGATTACTGTCACAAAGTTTGGCTTGTTCACATAACCTTTATCTATGATTGTTTCTCATGGATGTATCTGATAACATGAAGGTTAAGACAACACATTGCCTGACCGACAGGAGGTTTTTTTCCTATTCATTTGTGGTACGTGGGCGTCGCTGGCTGGGCCTGCATTTCTTGCCCGACCCTAGTTGCCTGGAGAGCTGCCTTCTTGAATCGCTGTAGTCCTCCTGCTGTGGGTTGACCCACAATGCCATTTGGGAGGAAATTCCAGGATTTTGACCCAGCAACAGTGAAGGAACGGCGATCTATTTCCAAGTCAGGATGGTGAGTGGCTTGGAGGGGAACTTGGAGATGGTGGTGTTCCCATCTATCTGCTGCCCTTGCCCTTCTAGATGGAAGTGGTCGTAGGTTTGGAAGGTGCTGTCTGAGGATCTTTGGTGAATTTCTGCAGGGCATCTTGTAGATAGTACACACTGCTGCTACTGAGCGTCGGTGGTGGAGGGAGTGGATGCTTGTGGATATAGTGCCAATCAAGTGGGTTGCTTTGTCCTGGATGGTGTCAAACTTCTTGAGTTCAAAGGGCGAGTAACTGTAGGTTAACATGCTCAAAGGATTGACAGATTAGCTTTGGATATCCAGCAGTCAGGCACAAAATCCTTTAAAATAAAAGATCATGATGCCAAAAATTGGGAAAGGAATCCCAAAATGACTGGAAGTGAAAATGGAAAGTGCTGGAGAAACTTCTCAGATCAGGTGGCATCTGTGGTGAGAGAAACAGAGTTAATGTTTAAAGTCTGAAATGATCCTTCTGCTTCAAAAGAAGTCCCCAGTGAAGAAGATTCACTGGATAGTGAAGAAGGTTAGCTCAGAGTACAATGGATCTTGATCATCTGGGTCAATGAGCCGGAGAATGGCAGATGGAGTTTAATTCAGATAAATGCGATACATTTTGGTAAGACAAACCAGGGCCCTGAGGAGTATTGTTGAATAGAGAGACCTAGGGGTGCAGGTACATATTCCCTTGAAAGTAATGTGACAGGTAGGCAGGGTGATAAAGAAGGCATTTGGCACTCTTGCATTGAGTACAGGGAGTTGGAATATCATGTTACAACTGTGTAAGACATTGGTAAAGCCACATTTGGGGTACTGCATACAATTCTGGTTACTCTGCTTTAGGGAGGATGTTATTGAACTGGAAAGGGTGCAGAAAAGATTTGCAAGGATGTTACTAAGACTAGAAGGTTTGAGTTATAAAGAGAGGCTGGATAAGCTGGGACTTCTTTCCCTGGAGCGTTGGAGAGTGAGGGGTGACCTTATAGAGGTTTATAAAATCACGAGCGCCATAGATAAAGCGAATAGCCAAGGCCTTTTCCTAAGGCTAGGGGAGTCCAATACCAGGGGGCATACGTTTATTGCGAGAGGGGAAAGGTTTAAAAAGGACCTTAAAACGACTTCTCAACACAGAGGGTGGCCCATATTTGGCATGAACTGCCAGATGGAGTGGTAGAGGCAGGTACAGTCACAACATTTAAAAGACATTTGGACAGGTACATGAATAAGAATGGTTTAGAGGAATTTGGGCCAAACGCAGGTAAATGGGACTAGTTCAGTTTAGGAAATCTGGTCAGCATGGACAAATTGGGCTGAAAGGCCTGTTTCTGTGCTGTATGCCTCTAAGTCTGTTCCGAAGAAGTATCATACAGGACTTGAAACATTTAACTCTGTTTCTCTCTCCACAGATACTGCCAGACCTGCTGAGTTTCTCCAGCACATTCTGCTTTTATTTCAGATTTTCAGCACCCGCAGTATTTTGCTTTCACCTGAAATGGTAGAACTTGTTTCTGAATAACTGATTGGAATTAAAGACCTTGGGCCGAAAGTGATGAATGTGGAATTTGTTTTCCTGATTTACAGTGAGGCTATTGGTGTGGAGAATCCAGTATTTGAGGAAATTACAGCCCAAAATTCTGAAGTGAAACCGAGGACACTGGATATTCGTCGCCTTCCATCAGACTCCGACCGCCATCTCCTCTCTGAACCCAACACTCCACTTTCTCCTGAGGCATTACCACGGTTTTTCCCAACACTCGGTAAGTTTGCTTTCTTCCGTTCATCGTACGTGCGGGCATGTGGAGGGGAGAAACCAATGGAATTCCTCGGAAAAGGCTTACTTGGATAAGCTCTGGATTCTTGGGCATCTGCCCAGACTCACTGGATACTGCTCTGACCACCGAGTCTGAAGCTTTTGGGGTCCAGTGGGTGTTGGTTGAAATCCCAGTCCACAAGCCTGAGCACATCTGTACTGACCTTCCCAGTGCCATTATAGAGCCACTGCTGCACTGAGTCACACAGTCATACAGCACAGAAACAGGCCCTTAGGTTCAACTTGTCCGAGCTGATCAGTTTCCAGAACTAAACTAGTCCCATTGCCTGTGTTTGGCCCATATCCCTCTTAAACCTTTTCCATTTGTGCAGCTATCCAAATGTCTTTTAAATGTTGTGATTGTACCTGCATCTACCACTTCCTCTGGCAGTACATTTCATACACGCATCATCGTTTGCACATAAAGGTTGTCCCTCAGTTCCCTTTTAAATCTTTTCCCTCTCATCTTAAATCTATGCCCTCTAGTTTTGGACTCCCATACCCTAGGGAAAAGATTCACCTATTCAACTTATTTATGCCCCTCACTATTTTATAACCTCTATTAAGGTCACCCATCAACCACCTATGCTCTGGGGGAAAAAAAATCCCAGCCTCTCCTTATAACTGAAACCCTCCAGACGCAGCAACATCCTTGTGAATCTTTTCTGCACTCTTTCCAATTTAATAATATCCTTCCTATAGAACTGGACACAGTATTCCAAAAGTGGCCTCACTAATGTCTTGTACAGCTGCAACATGACATCCCAAGTCCTGTCTTCAATGCAGTGAACAATGAAGGCAAGCATGCCAAACGCCTTCTTCACCACCCTGCCTACCTGTGATGCCACATTCAAAGAACTGTGTACCTGAACCCCTAGGTCTCTTTGTTTGGCAACATGCCCCAGGGCCCAAAAACTAACTGTAAGTCCTTTCCTGGTTTCTCTTACCGCAATTCAGCACCTCGCATTTATCTACATTAAACTCCATCTGCCACTGCTGAAGGTTCTGTCTCTCAGGTGAGATGTTAAACCAAGTTTGCATCCCCTACCCCTCCAGATGGACATCAATGGGACAAACTGAGGAAGGGAGGAAGACAGAGAGATGTTGAGGCGAGGAGGAGGAGGAGGTGGGTTAGAAGAAAGAGAGAGAAGAACGTGCTTGAGGGTAGGAAGTTGGGGGCTGTGGGGATGGGGGGGGGGGTGGGGGGGTGGGGGGGGTGGAGGAGTTCCAGTGATAGACGTCTGTTGAAGATCTGGTTTCAGGATAGGAGAAGGCTATTTTGTTTTTAAAAATGTATATTTGACCCTGACAAGACTGGAACATGCTAACAGATGAAACTGAAGTTCAGTGGAGAGGGTGAAACAGTCCACTCAGTGAGCGGTACACATTGTGCACGTACCTGGGCAGGTGGTAGAGTTGTGGTTAACAACCAGACGCTTTTGCAGAGATGGCGAGGCTGTGTACCATAATTGGTGCATCACCACAAGACACAACCTGTCGAGCACGACTAGTCTGTTACATTCATTTCTAGATTTACTGAGCTGAAGGGTCAACAACGACTTGTACAAAGTTGCAAGAAGTCCCATAGCGCTTCACTGGAGTGTGAGCAAAAAAAAAACATCTGATGCTGAGCCTGAGAAGGAGATATCGGGACGGGTGACCGTAAGGGATGTTGGTTTTAAGGAGAGTTTTAAAAGGAGGAGAGGGAGGTGAATAAGTTTAGGGAGGTAATTCCAGAGCTTAAGGGCTGGGCAGCCTGACCACCAGTGGGGCTAATCACTAAAGTATGGAAGGTGCACAAGACTAGACTGTAGCTGCACGGGGATTCTGAAGAGTTGTGAAGCTGCAGGCATTTTGAGGGAATTTTCCAATCCGTCACTGGTGATCTCGCTGGGTATTTTTTGACCATATGTGACAGAATAGAATGGGCAGTGGTAAACTGGTGAATGGTTTAACATCCTGCCCAGCTCTCTTATTTCTTTGAGCAGCATTCCCTGGTGACTGCAGGAATATAAAGATCAAAACCAGCCACTTTGATGAGCCCATGATAACATAGTAGTCCCATTACATAGAAAATAATCAACACACACTTGCAATGTTTATTTTGGAACAGAGGTCGTTGCAACAAACAGGCTGACAATTCTGCAGCGATACAGAGAAAAATATTTTCAATTTAAAAAAAAAATCACAAATCAGCAGGAAACACAGATATTCCATGCTATGATTAAAACCACTTCATGGGTTAAAAGCTATCTCACAGACTCATGATGCCACAGAAAGCCACTTCCTGCTCTGAAAGCTTAAAGTACAAATTATCTTCAGCACTGACATTCTTGACATTTTTCAACATTTCTGCTCCAAATCCCACAGTAAAAAAAAAACCTTTTTACTGTACTAACCATATTACAACATCATCATGAGCCCTGATCTTTGACAAAGTTCAGTGAAAGACTTGACTATTTTTCATGCATTGAAAGGGGTGACCACTGCAGTTATGCTATTTTCAGTTTGGAATCTTGCTGAAAAGAGAGACACATTGCTGGATGAGTTGGACTCATCAGGGCAAATGCAAGGATGCCACATTTTAAAGAATCACTGCTGGAGGCAAGGGTTGGCATTACTTAGCAAGTCAACATTTGATTGGCTGATACATTGCCGTGGCAAAAGCAATGAGAAACTATCGACTTCCCAAGCTCTGAAGCAGTCCATCAAAGATGCAAATCTTTCACACGTTCCCTTTGTTTGCAGAGAATGGATCTCTGTTTAAAAATGTATGAAGTTTTCTGGAAGAGTACATGATCCATGTTATGAACTCAACTGAAAGTCTTTGTTGGTTGTTAGTGTGGCTATTAATGAGCTCAAGATTGTTGAGAAGGTGCTGCCCAATTGTAGCTAGTAGCTACACTATTCGAAATATGTTTGACAATTGGCCACCATTAAACTGCAGGCCGGGTTGTCAGTGGTTCAGACAGACCTAAAACCTCGTCCTCCCCTCCCCTCCCCACCTCCCACTGCTTGGGTACAGGATTACACACACACACACACACACACACACACACACAAAAACTTTTCCAAGGGTATCTTCAAGCTGAGGCAGAGGCTCACTCACGTTCCCTGTCGCCTGCTCTTCCTGTCGAGGGTTTTGGACCTTGACAGCCCACTTGTCACCTGTAATTGGGCAGGGAACCTCACACAAGGCGGTACCCTGGACAAAATCCCAGGCCAGTGATTGTTTGCAACCTCCATCCCCCACAACCTCGGGGATTGGTGAAGGACTTCCTGTTTGATGCTTCAATGCAAAAATTCAGCTCTTTATGAAGAATCTTCCTCTTTCTCCAAAGAGTTAACCTGCAAGGGGTATGAATAACACAAGTCCAACTGCGTTTTGAATGCTTCATAACAACTTCAGGAAATTCTCTTTTCCTTTTTACTATTGAGGGTACTAACAAAACAATAGATTCACCGAGGGCTTGGCAATCTCCTGATCTCCAGGTAATTGATTCACATTTAAAGGCACCTATGGCCCTGAGAAAGGTAGGCAGAAATTGAAGGAGCTGCAGGTCAAAACAACTACAATCAAACAATAAATCTTTACATGAAAATAAATGAAAGAACCGAAAGATCTGAAACAAAACAGGAAGTAGTGGAGAAACTCAGCAGGTTTGGCAGCCCCTGTGGACAGAAAGCAGAGTTAACATTTTGGGTCCACTGACCTGTTCTGAAGAAGGGTTACCGGACCTGAAACATTAACTGTTTCTCTCTCTACAGGTGCTGCTAGACCTGCTGAGTTTCTCTGAAGCTTCCTGTTTTTGTTTCAAATCTTTACATAATCTGGAGAGACAGCACTGCTTTTCTTCAATGCTGCTTCATATGCACCAGTAAGACATTTAATTAGATATTGAATGGAAGACGTTGAATTTAACTTCCCTTGCATTTTGACAGAACTTGTGCCTGACTCCCCAAAGTGATGCAAACATAGAGTGGAACGGTCCATGTTTTGGATCAAAACCATGGAAGCAGATGAACAGAAGTTGGTCTGATCACAGAAAACAATGACAAACAGATACAAAATGAATTACATTCCACTCGTCTAATTTCCAGTAGCTTTATGCATTCATTAGGCCATGCTGGAAACTGCAAATCAAAGATCTTTTTAAGGTAACTGTGAATTTCAACCGAGACGCATATTAAGGAAAATGTAGGGACACATTCAGCACAAGCTATGCTTTAATGGACATTCCGTACCTTTCACTTGTGGGGGTGAGTGAACACAATTATCAACCAGTCATGCGACAACACGCTTGAGTTTATTGGTGTAAATTAGCTAAACTGTTTACAAACTAAGTACTTAGCTAGTGTACTGTCTGTCTGCTGATACCCAGACAGGTCTGTCCTCTCTCCTCTCCTCCTGACCCACAATAACCAGACAGGCATACCATCACTCATTCCATCAGCCCCTCAAAAACCCAGATTCTGAGCGAGACCCAGCCTCCGGGACAAAGGAAATACTCAGAAGAATGTAAGCAGGAGCAGATCATACCAGTGTTCGGGTCTGCTCCACCATGCCAAACAACTAGGGCTGCTCACTGGCCTCAAGCCCAAGGTGATGAGCTCAGATGGAGTTGTCCCCAATTGGATCTGACAGACTAGTGTTCATGTACAAAGGGCTCAACTCGCTGCTTTCAAGGAGATGATTTGATTAAGTCAAAACCTACACTTCACAATCCTGCACCACGTCAGTATTTTTTCCAAATGTACCTTTCCAGGAAATTTTAACCCTTCGTCACTTGGCCTGTTTCTGGCCATGTCAACATGGACATAGTTTGTGCCCGGGTGGGTTGGGATGAGAGAAGAGAAAATGGAAAGAGGCGAATAACTTGGTCCAAAACCAGTGATCCCAAGGATTTCTCTACTTAACACTTTGTTGAATGTTTCGATCTCAAATCTGGTATGAGTGCCCAGTATCAGTGAAAATGCCAGCTTTAAAATAACTATTTGCCTCACTAATCAAACAAAGTTTAGCAGCACTGTACAGTATATCTATTGTGACATTGTGGCGTTCAGGCAGTTGGTATCCTCTGATTAGCAACACATCACTTTTCTAGAACAGTGGATTCTAATTATGAACAATTATATGTCAGTATTATGGCTGGCATTGATTGTAACATTAATTTTTATTTTGTATGTAATCAAACAGCAAATTACAGTCTGATGTGTGTAGAGTGAAACAGTATTACTAAATGATCGAGACAATCATTGCTGGGTTTTAAAAGTCAGAACAGTCACTAAAGTGGATCATCCTAAGGTTTGATGCAACAAATTACTGGTACTGTTAATGGTTCTGATCCAGTACTACAGCTTTCAATACAAACCTCAAACAATAAAGTCCTTTCGTTTCAAATACGCTCTGCTCCAAACGCGAGAAAGAAGTATTTGTGTAGCACCTTTAACTTTGTAAAATTTCCCAGGGTGCTTCACAACTTTGTCAAAATATGACCTATCATTGCACTGGAGGGGTATCTTTTAAGAAGGTGAAGAGGTTAATGGAGGGATTTCCAGAGTAGTCAGCTGGAGGTATGCTGCCATTGATGGAGTCATTCAAATCTGGGATGCACAAGAGGCAGAGTTAGTGTGCCAATGAAGAGGAGATCACAGATATAGGTGGGGTGGGAGAGGGATTTGACGCACAATATCAGAGGAAGAAGAACATTGAAAATATTGCAAAATTTAGGTGCCTGACAGTATGCACTGTAATACATTCAGGTGTATAGAACAATTATAGACTGTTATTGGACTGGTGTGGGTAATAACGTTTACCACACAAGGTTGGCCTTGTGTACAAAACTAAGAGTGTCTCTTCTTGGAGCCACATCTTGTTTGGTTTTAAGGCAGAAGACAGCAGTATGGAACGGGTAAACAAACAGGTCATTTGGATCTCAGTGTGGGGATGGGGAAAGGGTTTTCATTGAGTTGTTGCATTGGGGGGGGCAACAGGTCGATGATGTGCTCCTGGTTAGGAGTCATACCCACTGAAACAAGCATGGGAACTCTTAAGTGTGTAGGTACCATCCGAGAATGTAAGGACTGCAAATGTAATACATTCAGCTGAAGCTCTTAGTCCAGCTTAGTGCAGCTATTTTTCCCTGGACTGCACTGCCTGTAAGGGCAGCAGAGGTAGTTACCATAACGACTTTGAAAAGAGAACTCAATAAATGCTTGAAGTGGAAAATCTGCACGGCCATGGGGATAAGATGGGACATAGTGTGACTAATTGTGTTGCACTTTCAAATAGCTCAGAACAGAACAGTGGCATTATTCTTCGATTCTATAATAAAAAAGAACATACTGTAAGATGTTGAAATCTGAAACAAACACCGAGAACTCTGGCAAAACTCAGCAGGTCTGGCAGCATCTGCAGAGAGAGAATCAGAGTTAACGTTTTTGATTCCAGTGTGACTCTCCTTTGGAACGCATTTATGAAGAAATCATATCACTCAAAATAGTTGCTGATAGATCTGTTGAGTTTCTCCAGTGTTCTTGTTGATTCCTAAATTGTTGGAAAGTGATACATTCATCCTGTTAATGTCCCAGCCAATTCTCCTTAAATTACATGGGTTTTCCAATGAACGAATTCAAGGTTTGTCACCGTTTTTTGCCGCTTGGGGTGGTGGTAGTGTGGGGAGTGCAACTGTGGCTCCTTGAAATCCAGTACAGATTCTGCTCGACAGTTTTGTTTGTGGATCTATGCAGCCTTAAACCAAGACAACAAGGCTGAATGCAGCAGGTAAATTGGCAACGCTGCCAGAAACCAAATCGATGATACCACTTGGAGCTGAAACTTGATCTTGACATTGCTTTCAGGGCTGGGCTCTATATTGGAAGGATTGCTTTGATAAAGATGTTGTATTGACTAGGGGAACTCGTGGCATAATGGTAATAACACTGGGCTTGTAATCCAGAGACTCCAGGCTAATCAGCTGGGATGTGGATTCAATTCCAAAAGTGGCTGATGGCTTAAATCTTAATTCACTTGAATTTAGTTAACAGCAAAAATAATTGGAATTAAAATATAGTGTCATGATGGTCACAAAAATGTGGTTGATTGTTTGAGGCAGGGAGGAATCCCATCTGGTTCACTAATGCCCTTTAGAGAAGGCAATCTGTTACCCTTAACTAGTCGATCTACGTGTGATTCTGAAATGGTCCGATAATGCCACTCAGTTAAAGGGGCAAAAAAGGATAGGCTCACTCAGCAAGTGAAAGCCATACACCACAAAAGTTTAAAAAAAGTTGTTCCTGTTTTGTTTTATGGAAGTTAAACCCAGTGTTTATACGGGTTGGGTACTTTAAGAGTGTTTAAATGGGATTTGGAAACAAATGTGCTCTGGTCTTTGTTGTGTCCTTAGAAAATTAAGGATCATTAAAACTGTCTGAGCCTAAAGTCTGTACATGAAAACAGATTGAGGAGACTGCACAATCAGTTGATGATTTTTGGGCACAAGACTGGCTGATGAAATATTGTTTATAAGTAAGGCAGAAAATTTATCAGCTGTAAAAGCCGTCATTTACACGTTGTTCTCACTGTTGAGGTTAAAATTGATTTTAAACAAAACAGATTTAGTTCTCCCCAAGATTACCATCGGGAGGCACATCAATACTCAACAGTAAATAACAAGAATGTAGGAGTACTAACTTAAGATGATGGAATCTGTGCTGAAAATAAAAAGTGCTGGAGACCGCAGTGGGTCAGGCAGCTCTGATGAAGAGTCCTCTAGACTGGAAACATTAGTTTGCTTTCTCTCCATGGATGCAGCCTAACCTGCTGTGGGCTCGAGCACTTTTTGTTTTCATTAAACAACCAGAAGGTTGTTTCATAGGATGCAACTGCGAAAGAGGTTAGGGCTGGTAATTCCACGTTGGAACTGTCATTAAGATCAGTAACCTGTGCTGTGTATAGTTTTAGTCGCTCACCCTCGGACCTGCCTCACCAGTCAGGCTGACCACAAATAGCAGTGACCAAACAATGTTTCTTCAACAAGGGAATGTGTCCCTAGGCTCCACACAGGAATGTGCTATCAGACAACACCAGAGGTGTTAATGCTATCAGTGTGATCTATCTGACAGCATGGAGTTTGCAGTCCTGCCAGAGACCAGCAACTTGTTGCAGAAAGGGAGGTGACGGGTGAGGAGCAAAGATGTGAGTAAGGAGGTGCAGAGGAACTTGCACAAAGCAAACAGATTGTGCACCACGCTCCCCAACACCTTAACTCTGCAAACGTCTGCAGCAAGCTACAGCCAGAGGAGGGGCTGCCATGAACACAGCTGTTAGGGTTAGAAAGCAAAACCTGCAAATACTGCACACCCTGAATCAAAAACCAACAACACACAGTGCACCCATTGGTATCTGTAAAGAGTAAAGGTTTAGTACCTCAGGTGTGTATCCGTCATCAGAAGTACAGTGGAACCACTCGCCGGTCTTTATTCTTCACATTCTGATGAACCTCTGGTATATTTACCAACTCCTTTGTCTTTTCAGAACAGACACACCTTGGCAATCCAGGTTGTGTTAGAATTTTCAAGACGGTTAAACTGGTATTGTCTTCAGCCCAAAGCTGATCACTTCACTACTTGGTCTCTGCTTAAAATACATTTTGGCTGTGCACTATAAGATTATCCTTGTTACCTGGCATTTTAATTCCTTAGGATATGTGTTCATGATAAAAGGTTCCTCCAGACTTCGGAGTGACTGAGCAAGTTGGATCCCACAAGATCCAGTGATCCTGACCTTGCTGTGATTGCCCATTTCTCAATCAGTCTTTATGTGCATTTGGTCAATCCCCCTGACTTTCCCCTCCCCCATGCTTTGTCTAACTACAAACACAATCGGCAATGGGTTTACAACTTCACAGGAAAAATCCGTGCTCTCCCATGATTTGCATTAAATCAATGGAACAAATGTGTTTAGAGCACTTACAATCTTTGCTTCTCCATGTTCAATCTCTTGGCAAGGCTTAAAGATCTCGGCTTTACTTCAGGTCATTGCACACCCCCTTTCAGTTTACTCCGGTCTTACCTATCTAAGGAAGCAGACTAATCCATGGCACACAACATTAGTCCATAACATCCACGGCACCATCCTTTCAATGGAATAGCACATGTTGCTTGTGATTTGGTCAGTTGGTGTCTGTATGAAGGCCTAGCATTGGAAGGCTGTTAGTTTGAGTAACTAAAAGTCAGCATTGTCTTACCAGACCATAGGGCCCCTCTCTCATTAGGGGTGGTGTAACCCGAGCATCACCAAGCCTCAGGTGAGGGGAGAAGTTGAAAAGGTCAGTCCTTCTTGAGAAGGTAGTTTCAGTCAGTGCAGGAAGTGAACCACATTGCTGGTGTCACTCTGCATCGCAAACCAGCCATCCAGCCAATTGAACTAACACAGCACTCACCCTCACTAGTGAACCAGATGGACTTTCCAACAATCAACAACAGTTTCATGGCCATCATTAGACACTTCATTCCAGGTTTGTTACCGAATTCAAATCGCACCATCTGCCATGGTGGGATTCCAACCCTTGTCCCCAGAACATTACCTGGGTTCTTGATAAATAGGCTAGCAATAAAACCACTCAGCCATCAACTGAATTGATATTTAAATTAGAATTGCATCATTTGATGTTCCAGATGTTCCAGATGTTCCTCTTTCTGTGATGCAGAGGTCACAGGTGCTGTAACTGCACTGTGTTGAGTTTGCCTCTTGTGTGGCAATAAATGCAAACCATTAAACAGCTGAAGCCCAAATGTTCCTCTCTCTCCTGGTACAAAATATCGTTCTGCCCGGTCAAATTGACAACCCACAAGTATTTTGCTTTTAAAAAGTCCATCATTCAGAGCAATTGTAAATCCATGTTTCTCCATGCAGAGTGCATCACTGACAGTGTTTTGGATTATAGTGCATGACGTATGTTTGTAGTTCTAAGAATAAAACAAAGCTTGGACAGACTGAGAATTGAGGTCTTATAATTGGATTTAAATTATTGGATTTTTATTTTAAGTGAATTTTCTTAACATCATTGCTCCCCCACTCCAAATGAACCTTTTCAATTGTAACCCCATGTGGATGCTGTATAATATTCCCATTTGTTAAAGTGCAGTTAAAGAACAGCTTCGAGTATCATGTATGTGTTTGATGTTAAACGGAACAAAAACATGTATAATTTTGTTATTGTTACACTTGTCTGTTAATTATTCAAAATACTTGTAAATTACTTTGAATGTAAAGTGATTTTATATAAAGTTTTTAAATTTAAAGCTGTAAAATTTTTATATCAAAATTAATTTCATGGGGGCTAAAAGAATTTCAGAAATAAAACTTGTTCTACTTTTACAAACACCTATGTAGGCTGTTCCGTATACTCTACACTGATGCATGAAGATGGGTTCTAAAGTTGGGTTCTATCAAACATTATTATAAGGGAACATTAAAGCCTCTTATCAAATTAATTCTGGTTACGTTGCGCAAAATATTGGAGTGGCTTTTGCAAACTAATGATCTCAACACATTAGAATGAATGGATCAAACCTATTTTTACTTTGTCTTCAGTTTTAGTCTAAACATTTTCCGATTCAATTTTAAAGTAAAGATTCCAATATCCTTCCTAACATTGGCATTAACCCATCTGGCCTTAAATACACAACAGTCGCTGATGAGTCCAATCTCGACCCCGGAGAACCCTCTTTAACTCAGAAAGCGGTGAGAATGTCAAACGTGCTGCCAATTGGAGGCAAATATCGGGGGCTCATGATGCATTTAAGAAGAAACACATGAGGTGAGTACATGAGAGAGGTAAACATGGAAGATTATGTCCCATAGAGATAGTAAGAACTGCCGATGCTGGAGTCAGAGGTAACACAGTGTGGAGCTGGAGGAACACAGCAGGCCAGGCAGCATCAGAGGAGCAGGAAAGCTGACATTTCGGGTCGGGACCCTTCTTCAGAAAAACAAACTGCCAA